CATGTAACTCATGCAGGCTTAAAATCAACTTTATTAGTGCTTTTTTCTTTTTCTTTTTGAGACAGCCAAATGGAGACCTTTTTGCATTTGTCTTAGTTCTAAAAGCAACAAGGCTCCTTCAGTTTTATAGAGCTGCAGCCATCCATCAATCCATCCACCATCATCAGCCTATGTGAGCAATACAGTATTTTAGCACAAATTACAGTCCAGAACACTGGTAAATGTTACTACACAACTACTACTTGGTGATGTTAAGCATTTTGCTCCACATGGATATCAAGAAATTTGCTTCGACTTTCTCTGAAAAACTAAATTAACAAAAAGAGCACTTTGTTTAGACTTGCCCTTTTAAAGGTTTAATTGTTTTCTTTAACTGCATTTTATAATTGCACTAACACAGAAATATTACAGCTCAAACAACTAATAGTAGACATCAGTAATAGTAATAAAAGTTAATTTCTGTAATTACATTAAGAAAAACTCAAAATATATCCAGCAACTGATAAAAATGTTGAGAAATAAAGCAAATGAACATTAAAAAAGGAAAAATGTTGTACCAGGACAAAAAAAAAAAAAAAAAAAAAAACTCCAAGAAATCTTTAAGTTCTGACCATTCAAAAATAATAATTGAAGTTTGTTTCATGAGTGGTATATTTTATTTCAATTTAAGGGCTAATAAACAGAATATTAAAAATCAAACAAAGGGAGAGAAAACTGGAGGCATCAAGCTGTTGAGTGCCACTCATAAGGTTGGGCTTGGTGGCTCCCTTTGTGAGTGGGGTCTGGGGAAGGGGAGGGGGGGTGGAGTCTCAAATTGGCTGTGTCGTCTCATTGGTTTTCATCCTCCACATCTTGCAGCGCCTCTTTATTCTGTTCCTCACCTGTGCAGAGAAACAAAGCCAGTTATTGCATCCTAACAGTTATGTCCCTTAACGCAATCCACGTGACGTGTTGTACATTGTTGCACATCATCATCAAGTTTGCAACCCTTGCAAGATCTGTGCATTACGAGTTTGCCAAATAAAAAGCAAAAATCACAACAAATCAATAGTGAAGGACCGAATACATGCTGTGAGAAAAATAAAATTAATTTATCATGTTATATTAATAGAATATGTAATTTTCAAGCTCAAAATAAATAAATAAAAATCTGGCTTAAGTCTAATTTGAATGCAGTGTTATCTCATGTGGTCATTTAACTTTCATACATAATTCAATTCCTAAACCAAAGGATAATACCCTTAGACACCTTTACTGTACATTTCTTCGTAAAACCTAGCAGAATTTTCCAAATTCTAATATATTTGTACAACACAGCCATTCCAATTGGACACTGAGGATCTGGCAGTGATCATGCAGAAACGGTTTGTTTCAGACATGCTGCACATATAGCACTCTGGTGGCTACAAAGATCGCAACACAAAGCTTACAAACGGGTGAGTGATGATGCAATTCGTGGACAAAAGGGCAAGAGCTGGAAAAAGTGGCCGCACTTACAAATAAAGTTTGTGGGCAATTAACATTTTCCTTTAGGAATCTATATAGTGGGGATGAAAAAAGGCAAGATGGGTTAAGTTGGACGGCATGAGTCTGGACACATTACAAGATGACATGAAATGTAGTAGAGAAAGATTATACTGCTGGTTTTGCACAGAAATGCAATAGAGCTATTAAAAACATAGTGTCTTACTTTTGGTGTAGGAATGAAACTTTCGGATTGATATACTGAATACACTACATTAGATCTATAAAATATTTATGCTAGAATAGGGTGTGAAAATGAAACAATTAACATTAAAACCACTCCATTATATTGAGAAAATGATTTCATTTCTGGTGGATGAATTTGAAAAGTAGGCATGTTTGCTTGCACATTTCCACTGCCAATGTAGCCAGAGCCCTCTATTTGAACACTTTTAAAGGCAGATATTAGAGATGGTTGGAAACTATGCCTCACAAGTCCTAAATCGGGACACTCTGAAACAATCACTCTAAAAATAGAAAAAAATGGAGGAGCTTTTGAGGATGTCACCTTCATGTACCAATGGGTTTCAAAAGACATGTTTGTCAGGCTTAGCATCTGAAACTGCGATGATCCGTCTTACCGTCTCCCTGCATATCTGAAGTCCATAGTGTCAGGTTATCACGTAACAATTGCATGATGAGTGTCGAGTCCTTGTAGCTTTCTTCACTCAATGTGTCCAGTTCAGCAATAGCATCGTCAAATGCCGCCTTTGCCAACCTAAAATCAACAGCCAGGTCCATAAACTATTAAGTTTCAACATACAAGTGAACAGGAATACATTGCAATGAATACCATCTTGGTCTGATAAGTAACCAAAAGCATTATCATTAAACTATGGTAACAAACAGATACCATATTCAAAAAAACAGAGATTTACAAAACTGTAATTGTCTGTAGTACTTCATGTTAAGAGATCTGAAAACAGAAAAACAAACCAAAACACAAAAACAAACCTGCATGCACGGTCGGGAGAGTTGAGGATTTCATAGTAGAATACAGAGAAGTTAAGAGCCAGACCCAAGCGAATGGGGTGTGTAGGCTGAAGGTCTGTCATTGCAATATCACTAGCAGCTTTGTAAGCAACCAAACTGTTTTCTGCAGCCTCCTTCCTGTCGTTTCCTGTGGCAAACTCAGCGAGATACCTGTGGTAATCACCCTTCCTGATGCATCAAAGGGAGAAAAGGTCTGTTTAAAACATGTATAAATAAAGCCGTGACTTCATTATGTCACATACGATTCATCCTTAGATTCACTTAGAAAAAAAACTCATGGCTTTCATACATTTTGTAGTAGAAGACCTTGGACTCTCCTGAATTTGCAGCTGGGATTAGGTGTTTGTCCAACACATCAAGGATGTCATTGCAGATTGATTTCAATTCATTCTCAACCTGGACATGAAAATTCAAAGGTTAAAAGCGTAAGACTAATCATTCTAGTTATGTGAATGAACGTTAGTTAGGGCACGTCTTACCGTTTGTCTATATTCCCGAATCATTTTCAATTTGTCCTCTCCACCCTTATTCTCCTCTTTCTGCTCGATACTACTGATTATCCTCCAGGATGCTCTTCTTGCCCCAATAACGTTCTTGTAGGCCACCGAGAGCAGGTTTCTCTCTTCAACCGTTAGCTCAACATCCATCCCAGCCACCTTCTTCATGGAGTCGACCATTTCTGGAAAAATTGAAAAGGAGCATGATGGATATTTTGCTGACTGGATTTATTTACAACAGAATACAAGTCGCAACCATAGCTGAAATATACCATTTTTACTCAATCAGAAAGTACAGTTGGGATCCAGAAGTAAAAAAAAAATCACATTCATTTTCTTCACAGGTA